GGGGCGCGTGCCCGTCCGGGTGGCGCCGGCAAGGGAGACGGTGAGTGCGCGGGGGCGTGCGCGGGGCCGCAGGTGACCCCCGCCGGGCCGCCAGGTGTCCCACCTGCGCGCGGGGAGCGGCGCCGCCGGCCGTGGGCCCCGTGACCCCCACACGAGCGCCTGCAGCTCCGCGGTCAGCTGGACTGGAACCTTCCAGGGCAGGGAGCCCGCAGTCGGGTCGCCCAGGTGTCGGGAAGACGTGCGCGATGCTGTCATTGACTCCAGACCTTTGAGGTTGCTTATGGTTACCCTCTGTCAACCACGTTCCCCCCGCGCCTCCAAGGTGATCCCGAAATGGGGGTGAGGAACCCCCAGAATGTGGTGGGCAGGACGTCAAATAACCCAGGAGGATCAGTGCACTCGGGTGCATTTGGAAGCAGTGTCTGAGATCGCAAAAGCCACTGTGTTCGTGTATGGGAGTGGGAAAAAAAGTCTGCAGAGAGTACCTCCCTCAGATGCAACTCCCTTAGTAGGTACACTAAAGAGGAAAACGGGTAGGAAAGCGGAAGGTGGGAAACTGTTAATGAACTAACCCCTTCCGAGGAGCATCGCATGACCATGTGTAAGTTTCTTGTAGTTGAGAATCCGCAGTAAAGAAGAGCGTGGGCAACAGTGAATAAAGGGGCGTGATTTTGTCACGTTGATGCAATGACTAGGGAAGTTTTCCTTGTAAGACTAGAAGAGCCGAAAGCTTAGATGAACTATTTTAGAAAAGAGACAGCTATGCCATTTCTAACTGATGGAATTTATACAGCTTTCGTTCCTTGTCTGAGTAGACACTGGTGATCGCATGGAAGTGCATCTGTTCTTTTGATGAGATCATGCCTTTAGGTTAGGATATCTGCTTTGGATATCTTCCCACAGCAGATCACAAGCACGCGATCTAAGGTACTTTTACACAGTGAATACTTAAAATACGAGCATATATCTTCAACTTTTATCTCACACACACATACACATAGATATACACTTTCCTAACTTAGGAAGGTGAGTAGCTAAACTTGTATCTGAAGAATTCAGAATTTTGAATCAGCCATAATTGATAGGGAAACAGATTAGCAAACAAGATATTTAAATAGGATTTTCTTTTGTTGCGTTATAAAATTAATTTTAAAGTTGAGAAACAGAATCATGCAGTTTTTTTTCTTTGTTATATTTTTAGAAAGGTTTTATTTGCTATAGAGTTCAGGTGGTCATTGGAGAGACAGAAAGCAAGAAATCATTGGTGGATGGCCACACCGCAATCTCATCTCTTCCATACTCCTCTCTGGATCTTGGACATGCATGCACATGTGCCTGGTGTGAGGTTTAAGCTTCCAGATCTAGGACTTGAACTGGAGTTGACTGTGTGGGAGTCCAGTGACATAACCATTACATCACCCACTGGTCCCTGCAGTTTTTAAAAGACTACATTCAGAAAGCTAGAACTCTGACTCCACCACTTACAAGTGTGTCATTTTGGACAAAGTGCTTCACCTCTCAGTGCCTGTTCCCTTACCTCTCAAGTGAGGCTAGGGGTCTCAGGCAGTTAAGAGAGTTAAGTGAGTTAATATATTTGAAACACAATGGTACCTTGGGGTATAGTGATCATCTAATTTATTTTACTCATTTATTTTCTTACCTGTTTTTGTTTATATTATCATTGCTTACTGTTATGAAGATTCCTGTGTGTAGTTGTAGAAGTCAAATAATGCCAAAGTTCTGGCTTACCTTTCCCAAATCTCTAGTCCTACATTTATTGTCATGCTTTTTGTATACAATTTTTCCCCCTTTATGGAAACTTTAATGATCTTATCATTGTCTCTGGTGGTTGAAATTTTGATGGTAAAGAACTGTGGCGTGGGAATTTTTCATTTATTGCGCTGTGTACTTAAGGGCCCTTTCAGTGTGATAATTCATGTCCAGAAGTTCTGTGGCATTTTCTTATATTATTTCTTTGACAATTTCCTCAGCTCTATCTTTTCTATTTTCTTTGTCTGGAATTGCTATCAGTCTGAAGTTAAATCTCTTGACAGTTCCTGTGCTAGATCTAATTCTAACCTTTCTTATATTTCAGTTTTAAAAATCTGTTTGTTTATGGGAAATAGCCTCAACTTTATCTTCCAATTCCCTCTTTAATATCCAGTTTCAGCTATCTTAGTTTAAATCAAATAACTGTTTTGTGCAGTCTGAGGTTCATGATGCTCTGTTCTTACTGCATTCTATTTTGTTTCATAGCTGCTGTAGTTTCCTCTTTTTTTTTTTTGCTATAAGGATATAAATTATAGTCTTGTCAAGTCTTCTGCTTCATACATTGTTTTGTTCTTTCTACTTTCTTTTTTATTCTTGTTTGATTTAAGCTTTCACTTTCATTTTGGAGATTGTCCTAACGTAGTTGTGGTCTTTGCCTATGACTGTAGGAGAACCACTCAGGAGGTCTTTTGCACATGAGCACGGCTTCTCCTTAGTGATGTGGGCTTTTCGTTAGAGTAGCATCCACATGTCTGAATTTATAGCTCATTTGCTCTTGTGTCTCTCCAAATAATAGAGGAGAGAGGGTCATCATCTAGTCCATTTTGTGCTGCTGTAACAGCCTGAGACTGGGTAATTTATAAAGAACAGAGGTTTGTTTCTTGTAATTCCAGAAATTGTGAAGCCCAAGGTCAAGGGCCCTGCATCTGCTGAGGGCCTTCTTGTGTCATCCCATGGCTGAAGGCAGAGGGGCAAGAGAGAACACATGTGTGCAAGAGAGAAGAGAGAGCATGAGAGAGAAAGAGCACACTGAACTGTTGATAGCTTTTGTAACAGACTCATTGCCATGAGCATGACAGTAAGCCATCCCTGAGGTCAGGGCCCTTTTGCCCTACTGAACCTCTTACTCTTAAACATCCCTCCTCTCAAGACTTCGGTGTTGGGGATTGTTTCCAACACATGAATTTTGGAGAGCACATTCAGACTAGAGCAGGCAGTGATTCAGATTTAGAAAAACGTGTATATGTGTATACACACATTTGTGTAAGAGCATGTGTACTGGGGGGGGGGTGCTTTGATATACTCGGTGTTATTCTCCACTCCTGTTCTCAGCCCTACCACTTACTCTGCACCCATCACTCCTTCTGTTCCCCAGGCCTTATCCTTTCTGGGGCTCTGTTCAGCGAACTGTTTACTCTCCTTCGATCCTCAATCCCCAGGCACTGCATCTGCTCCCCCAAGTCGGTTGTCACTCCTCCATCTTTTCACTTTCATAGAAATTTGACAAGTTTTCTTGAATGTTTTAGTTTCCTTTCTTTTCTCTTTCTTAGTCCTTGTGTATTTACATTTTTTTAAAAAAAATTACCATGGTTTCTGTGTTTTCAGGAGAGAAGATTGAAAGAAATTCATGGGATCAGTCTGCCATTTTTGAGAATACTACTTTAAACCTATATTTCGTTTATTATGCCTAGTTTTCCTGAAGCAGTAGAAATTATTCCTTTTGATGTTTATAGCTAAGAACTTTTGATTTATAAAGCTGCTTTTAAGAACCGTATAATGCTGAGCATAAGTCTGGAATATAAATCAACCTGTACATGTTGTGGGAATAATTTAACTAATGAGATTGTACAGCAGGTTATTTACAGAAAGTTATATTAGCGTAGCTTTGAAGATTTTGGTTTTAAAGATATTGGCTCTGAACTTTCTCCAGAAGCCTTCTTTGACTCCATACATTTGTTAAAATCCCCCCTGCCTAGCCTATACTCTCAGATAATGAGGTTTTTTTGTAATTATTTGTTAATCATTTCTCTTTTCTGCTTATGTTCAAGTTCTAAGGAGAGGCTCTGTGTTGCTGTTGGTCACTTTATATCTTCATTGCCTGGTGTGGGGCATAGCTCTGCGGACACGAAAAATATTTATTGAAAAAAATAAGCCCATGCTCATATTTGTATGGCACATAAACATTGAAAAGGCACAACCACCTCCTATGAGAATTAAAAGTTTAATATTTTGTTCAGCTAAAGTGGTTATTTATAGCATTTGAATTGGGAAAACTTCAGTGGAGGTCAAAATTCCAAGCTTTGGGAGACTGAATCACATGACACTATATTTATTTCAATTGCGCAAGCTTGACTTGCCAAAATTTTTTGGTAAACTATGGCCTTGACCTTTTATAATATTTTAAAAAATAGTACTATAAAGAGTTGTCAATAGAGTCTGCTTAAAACCTTAAAGTTTTAACCTTAAAGAATTATTTTTATTACTGGAAAAATTTTTGTTCAAGAACTGCCTTTTGTTTCAGGCCCGGAATTAAAAAATCTATTAGGTTGCTTGACATACTTTTATCCACGATTTTCTGTATTATACGGAACACACGGTCTATTTTATGAAGCTTCAAGCAATTTAGTTGTATTCTGGAGTGGAAAATGAGTTAGACCAATTTTGTATCTTTTCATATATTCCTCTAATAATTGCCAATAGTCATGAG